ATTTAAATGACATATAAAATTGTATGAAAAAATAATACAAAAAGTTATCCATAAATTATTTTCCTAACAAAAACAATTGTTTTCAATGAATTTTATGGGGCCAAACCAAACAACAAAATTTTTATTTTTTTAATAAATATTTTCCTACAATAAAGTTATTTTTGTGAACAAAACAAACCCTAAAAACCAACTTTAAGAATTTAAGGATTTTTTTCCTTTTTGGCAAAAGAGTTTAAGGATCCAAGTGATCAAAATCATCTCTTATCCTTTTCATAAAAGGGATCAAATTAAAATGATCAAAATATAAGGGTGTGGTTATTGCCACCATCAATACTATTAAGGCTATCAAAATTTTAGTTTTTTTATTGGTCTTAAATAGTCTCTAAAAATATTAGTTTATTAGCTAATTTAATTTATTAACTAATAAATATCATTTTATTCTATCCGTAATTAATTGATAGTTATGAGTATTAATAATTTTTATCAGTTAAATTAAATAAAATTAATATTTTTAAAGATAAAATTTTATGATTTTAATAGCCATAACATTATTATTAATGGTTGGCATAACTTAGCCCAAAAAAAGAGGTATTAGAACTAAGATTTGGAAACTTTAACTGAGTACAGGGATCATTAGTGCCATTTAATTCCCAAAAAAGAAGATATTTTTCGGCCATGATGAAAAAGTGATGGGTCTGGGTTATGAAGCCTGGGCATGTCTAGAATCTAGAGCACATGTTTAACATGCAGAATTACATAAACAGTGAGCCTTTTCCCTGTTGCTGGACCATGCCTTGAACACAAATCACATGCTTATCCAATCCAAAAGGATCTTTAATTGGGCTCATCCCTTCTTGTTCAACTTGTAACATGGCCACTATAACCTAATCCGTTGTGGGGAGTGGGGACTACACTGCACACTTTCCTGCATAGTTGCCTCCTCTATTGGACCCAATTCACTTATGTTCAACTTGAAACTTGATTCCATTTTGGCCCAACAAGTCACCTGCAATAATATCTCAATGCATTCCCCTTTTCCATTTTTTTTTTAAATTATGCATAACAATTTAAAGGATAAAAATATAATTCCGTTGCCAGGACTTAAACCCTGGTCTCTCGGGTGAGAACCGAGTATCTAACCAGCTAGACTACAATGGGATTTTACTACCACATTTTATTTATAAATAATTATGTATAAAGTTACTAATGGCATGTTTAATTTAAGGAGAGGAAAGATCTATACTTTATTTCTTCTTTTAATTCCTTTGCTTGTCCAAATAAAAGGAACGAGGGAAAATAGGAAGAAAGGAAAGGATATAGCATCCTTACGTCCCTCTTATTTGTTTCTCTCAAACCAAATATATTTTAACATTCGAATAAGATACTATTAGTTACATATAAATAAATGAAAATAAAAAAAGAAAAGGAGAGTTATTAGTTGAACAGGATAAGCATTGTTTCGGTCTCCATAAAATCTTATCCTGTATTGAATTTCTATCTTTCACCAAAACTGATTTTCTAGCCTAACCGCAACAATTTTACATAATTATATCATATGATTAAGAAAAATGTTAGATTAGAGTAGGTTCTGAAACTGCTTCAAGGCTAAATGGAAAGATATGGTTGAACTTGTAAGAGAAGAAAAATCTCATAGGAAATCCCTAGAAGATCTCAAAGAGGTTGGGGCAGCCTCCCTAGCTTTGTGCCCACCGAAACGACAGGTGGCCACAACAATTATACATAATTGGATCATAGGATTTGAAGATGTCATGTGGTTCTAGTCCTCTTGTTAAATCCTAAGGCTAAAGTTGTACTAAAACCATTTTTTGTTTTGCCTTAGTTGTACTCAAAATTGATCATCACTTTCATAGCTTGAATTGGATGGCATTACATATGCAATTAGAGATTATTAAGTTCCCATGTTCTCTCTTTTGGGAACTCCACCATGCGGCCTACTGATTGGGCCGCGCTCCTTAATGAGAAAATTGTGACATTCACCCTCATTTGGAGATCGAATTCCCAGTTTCTAACAATCAACTAACTTAATTTACTAACCATTGCCTTCGTAAAAAAAAAAAAAAATGTTCTCTCTTTTGGTTGATTTACTTTGGTCATGAAATAATTGATCTTTCAATCCGGAAAGATGTTTGATTGGGCCCATCACTTTGTATTGTTCAACACGTAACATGGACACTATGACCTAATCTAGACATGAGCAGATACAGATATGGAGTAGATATTTACTCATATTTATATTTAACTTAAACAATAGTAGATATAAGGTTTTAATACTTAATATTTACTCATGTATTAAAAATTTAAACTCATTACTTAACTTATTGGGTATAAATGTATCTGCAAGTAGACTTTTATACCAGTTGAATATTATAACCTTTAATACATATTAAAACATAATTAAATCTATTTTAAAACACATACTTTAGTTCATACATAATACTTATACACAAGAAAATACATGAATTCATACTAATAAAAATGTATAAATTAAAACACAAACACAAATTCATACATATAATAAAATATGCAAGCACGTATATACGCTTGCATATAGGAGCCGAGTATCCTAACCAACTACACTACAATGGATTTTAATATGATAATTCACTTTTTATTTACAAATAACCATGTATGTGGAGCTACTAATAGCTTCTATCTTCCTCAAAACCTCCAAAGAGGATCTCAAAGAGAAGGAAGTCACCCTCCCTAGCTCTGTAACCACCGAAGCAACGGGTGACCACAACAATTTGACATGATTGAATCATAGGATTTGAAGGAAATGTGACGTAGTTATAGTCCTCTTGCAAAATCCCAAGATTAAGGTTGTACTCAAACTTGTTCATCACTTGTATAGCTCGATTTGGATAACATTACACACGCAATTACAGACTACCCTGCTTCCGTGGTCTCTTCTGTGTTATTTACTTTGTTTATAAGTTTTTTCTTCTCTTTCAATGAGACTTAGATCATCAAGTAATCTTTCAATTTAAAGCTCTGTACCAAACATATAGATATATATTATCATACCTTTAATATGGTGTTTAATATGATCTTAGGTATGGTAAAAAAATAAAAAACAACTAGGGCTCTTAATTTTATTATGAAAAGGTTTTTTTTTTTTTTTTTTTTTAATTTAGAATTGAAGGCTACAGTCATCATCAGGACTCGGAAATGTTATTCTCATCCATAGCTTAGAAAGCTATGTAGGAAGGTGTCCTAAGATTTTCCCAATTTCATCACTTGATGACTCTGCCAAACACTTCACCAGGAAGATAAAAAAAATTATATATAAAAAAATAAAAAATAATAAAAAAAAAAAACCAAGAAACAAACACAGATTCAGAAGCATATTTGAGCATCTCTCGATCATGGAAAACTCAGATCAAGTGTTGGATTTACATATTTTGCTTCATCCTCATCTAAAAAGGTCGAAAATTTTGTAAAAACTATATGAGTAAACGAAATTCGTTGTAAGTGGGAATTGAAAGTACTCAGTGGTGGCGATTAAAGTCATAGGTTCGATTCTGCCAGCTGATTTCCTCAACTAAATATCAGAAGAGGGAGCTTAGTATCCTCATCGCAACCTTCAATTTCCCACAACACCTTCTCAAAAATCATTTCAAAACTTTTTATAAGAAAAAAAGGGAAAAAAAGAAAGAGAGAGATCTTTCAAATAGATTTTCAGAGGCCATAAAACAGAATGAATCGGATTTTCTATGCAACCAAATAGAGGATTCATAAAGAGAAGAGAGATCGCTCAGTTCAGCGGGGTAGTCGACACGCAAACTTCTCAAGAAGAGGAGCCTGCATTCCGGTCTGTTGAGCTTGAAATTTCTGAGGTCATCACTGCGATTTCTCTCGGAAATTTTTCAAAACGATAAAAATTGTAAAGCGAAGAACAAAAAACGATAACGAATGAGCAGTGGCTGGACAGCTTAGAACAAGCAAACGCCGATTTGATTCCAGATGAAGACGGCGATGGCTATGTATTTATAGGGGTGCGACCTAGGGTTTCTTTGGATTGGGAACATACGCCCCGATGAGGGTTTCGTTTGGTAAGGCTAATGTTATTATCCCGCGGTTCGCTATCCTGACAATGGAATTGGTAGAAGCCAAACGTGATCTAATACTAAGAAATAAAAACGATTCCAGTGTAAAAACCAGGAGAAATAAAAAAAATCAAGGTATTTAATTATAATTATTAAATTTATGGACCATAATATTAATATTAAATTTATTAAATATATTATATAATTATTATTAAATATTTAGATATGCTTATATTTTCTGTTTTCAAAAACTAAAGAGTAGAAAGAGAAATTAGAGGTTTTGTTATATGTTTGATTACTTATATTTAAGAATTTATTTATAATACTTATTTAATAATACGTTATAATTATTTTTTTGAAAGTAAAAATTATAATTATAAATTTATAATTTATTTTTACATGATATATTATAACAATATGATTGTGCAAACTTTTTAAGTCATCAACCTTTAGGATGCTTGTAAACTCATTCCTAACCTTTGGAAAATAGAAATTATATCCTTAACTTTCCATTATAATAGTGTCTTTCACTTGTCAATTTGTTAATTAACTCAGACTAAAATAACTTAAATAATGATCATAAAATGCCATATGGTATAAAACACTTGCCTTTTTATTTATTTATTTTTATTTTACGTGTGTTTACTAATTAAAACTTTATAGAGAATAACAGCTTTTCCTACAATAACCTAAACAAATAAAATACCTTTATAAAAAGAATTTGACATATTGCTCCAATAATCAACTCAAAAAAAAAAAAAAGAAAAAAAAAAAGAGCAAAATGAAGGTTATATATGTTAAAGAGTTTAATGCCACAAAGACCCCATAAAACATCTACCTTAATGTTGTGTTTGGATCACAACTTTCTTGGGTAAAAATTTTTAGAGAAGTCAAGCCATTAAGTCAAACTTGTGAGTTCATATCTTGTGAATCTTATTTGAAAAATACCAAAACGAGAGCACCCATATCTTGGGAATCTTGCAAAATATCCAAAAGAATAAAGACTAAAAGTGTGTTTGGTGAAACTAGTAAAAGTTTTAATTTTTTGACATTATTTATATTTTATAAATTTAAATTTTTTTTAAAAGCTTATATTTTTTTAACTTTGTTATTCTTTAAAATATTTTAAACAGTAAATTTTAAAAAATTTTAAATTTATGCTTTTTATAAACTTCATTTTTATTCACTTCTTATTCACTTTTTTCTATTTTTAAAAACAACTCTTAAATTTTTCCTCCAATAAAAATTTAAACTTATCACTTATAAACAATAAAATAAAATAAAAGCTCTTACAAGTTTTACCAAATATACTTTAAACATGTTTGGTGAAGTTTGTAGGTACTTTAATTTTTTGATATTATCTATATTTTATAAATTTAAATTTTTTTCTTAAAAATTTATATTATTTAATTTCTTTTTAACCTTAAAAAAACTTAAATAATAAATTTTAAAAGTTTCAAACTTAAACTTTTTATAAATTTTATTTTTACTTATTATTTATTTATTTTTTATTATTTTTAAAAATAATTTTAAAATTGTTTCTTTAATAAAAATTTAAATTTATATTAATAAACAATAAAAAAATTTAAAAGTTGTAAGAAGCCCCACCAAAACAGGCAAGAAGCTCCATCAACATTTACCCAAACAAGAGCACCCATTATATCACTCATAAAAACACTGGCCTAGGTTCAGCTGACACGTATTTCCCACCACAACCCCAATTGTCCATTTAGAAATGGATTCCTGCCAATAACGAGTGCATCAAAATTAAATGCGGCACTTGGCCTTGTTCTCTTGTCTCCATTTCAATCTGTTCATCATTACTTTATTCCATCTCCTCTCATCAAAACTCCTCTTGGATTGGATGCTCCGACACCATCGAAATCGCAGGGGAGAAGAAGAAGTCTGAGTTGCTTCAGATTCATGCGTTGAAGTGGAAAAGAGAAGAATAGAAGGATGAGCTGTTTAGCTCGAGTTTTGGCGGTTCAGTTTCCGCCACAGTCACCGCGTCTTCGCAATTCGTATTCTTCGAGCCCTAGGTTTTTGCTGTCGAGCACTAATTTGAGTTCTAGATGGCGATCGATGGCCGCCAACGCCGACTCTTCGTCCTTCTCGACCTCGACTGACTCTGATTCTGCCGATAAAAGTGCCGCCGGGTACTCTTTCTTCTCTTGTTCTGATGTTAGCATTTGAAAATTTACTTGAAAATTCAGTATCGTTTTCTGCATTAGATATTTATTCAGATCATCAGAAATAGAAAGTTTGAGATCGTTCACTTGGACATCTAGATGGAATGGAATTGAAGCCGTAGACGCTGGAAGCAACTCCATCTTTGTAGTTGATTCGAGTGTTTTCGCTCAAATTGTTTTATCGTGAATGTTTTCTGGATATTTCTTTGGAACTTTCAATTAACTGTGATATTTCTAGCTGATATTTGTTTATTGATGATTTGTATCTTTTAGTGTATTTGTTAAGTGTGATTCATGGTTAATCGTTGCTATGTCTATTAATTAAAGCGGTTTGAATCTTAAAATCTATGTTGAAGAAGAAAAGTCTGAAAAGATCTACTCTCCATTAGTGTTTTGAAAGTGAAACTGCCTCCTCAAAATAGGTTTTGTCATGAATAAGCATGATTTATTTTTTATATTTTTGGTTGAATTTGCTTATATAACATAAGTTTAGCTGTGATAATCTAGAGAGGTGCCAAGCTTGTATCTTATAGATATGTTTTGTGAATTTAAATGCAGATTTTGCATCATAGAAGGTCCTGAAACAGTGCAGGACTTTGCCAAGATGGAAATGCAGGAAATTCAGGATAATATCCGGAGTCGTCGGAACAAGATATTCCTGCACATGGAGGAGGTCAGCAACTAGTTTCCTTTTGCAGAAATTTGCTACTCAGTTTTGATGCAAGCTTTGTAGCTCTTTGGTGGTTCTAGATGTTGTTTGTTGAGAAGAAAACCTGAATAACACCCTGGTAAAAACTTCTTCAAATGGTTATTAAGCCAAAGGATCAGCTGAAAATGCTCAAACCAAACCTAGTATTGCGTTAGTGAAGCTACACATGCTTCATGAAAATGCTAAATGGAGCTTTGGAACCAAGTTGAGGCATTGCAATTTCTTTTAATTATGGTTTTCATCTTAGAGCATTATCCCTTTTCTTTTCATTTTTCCCTGCACTTAACATCGCCAGATATCTGTAGGTTCGCAGGCTGAGGATACAACAGAGAATTAAAGGAGCTGAACTTGGTATTCTTAATGAACAGCAAGAAAATGAGCTTCCTAATTTTCCATCATTCATTCCCTTCTTGCCTCCGTTGGTGAGATTTCTCTCATTCAGCTTCACCTATAATTTGCTTTTTATTAGTTCTTTTAATGTTTTGATATTCTATCTGGATGCTCTAGTGATAAGTTAACCCTTTCAACATTTTGCTTGCAGAGTGCAGAGAATCTTAGGATGTATTATGCTACTTGTTTCACTCTTATTGCGGGAATTATTCTTTTTGGTGGCCTCCTAGCACCTGTTGTAAGTCATTTTTGAACTAGTCAAGCTCTGTGTGTGCTCTCACCTGCATGTATAAGCTATGATACTGAGAGAAGATGATGGTTTTCTTGGTGTGTGTGTGATTGTATATTATTGTATATCTATGAATTTCCAAATATTTTAATTAAGTTCTCTAGATGTAGATATAAGTATCCCTGCTCCTCAAAAATGATGCTTACCATTCTGTGCTTTCATTTTGATATCCCAGTTGGAGCTGAAGTTAGGTCTAGGGGGCACTTCATATGAAGATTTTATTCGTAGTATGTACCTCCCTGAGCAGTTGAGGTATGGCTTAATCTTTTGTTTGTACTTTATATCTGATTACAATCAGGTTGCATTACGGTAAATGAATTGATTAAGGCCCTATTTTGAATACTGGGTTTTGGTTCAATGAAAAAGGTTTGCATCCTTTAGATATAAATGGGAGATTATGTTGATTAATTAACAGTAGTTGCAATTTGATTAATTGATTGAATGACAAAGCTATGATTTGGGGATAATTTTGGAAGTTTAAGTCATTTCTCTTACAACAGACAGTTTGGAATTTTAGTTCCCAGGTATAACCAGTTTTAATATTGCTAACTGTAGTCAGGTTGATCCTATAGTAGCATCTTTCTCTGGAGGAGCAGTAGGAGTGATCTCAGCCTTGATGGTGGTTGAAATAAATAATGTGAAACAGCAGGAACAAAAACGATGCAAGTATTGTCTTGGAACAGGTATATTCGTTGATCTATATTGTTTGTTCGGGCTTTGTGCTCCTGTTTTCTATTTCTTTTTCCTCTCATATTGAAAACACCTGGTTATTTTTTTTTATCAATTTAGGGCTATGCTATTAGTTATACATTAAGCATCTTGTTTTTCTCCTCATTGCAATGACAAAGGCATATTTAGTTGTTTAATCCTTGTTGATGTGCTGAAACTTCCGCTTCTGAACACCTGTGAAGCCTCTTTCACTAGTTGAAATTATACTTTGTAGCTTCCTTGAGAAAGAGATGCATGCATGTAGATTACAATTACCTTATTTTCCTTTGTAGTTGGGTTTTAGAGGTAGATATCTTTTGCAATTTGTGATTTTGCAGTACTTCTTTTCAGTCTCCTACATTCTTATGCCATTTCTTCCACGTACCATTCAAACCAAGAAGCTTTTTCTTTTACATTTTGCAGCAGCTTTGTGCATGCCTTTAAGTTACAAAACCTTTTTTCTTTTTGCATACCTATCATTAGTTCATTTATCTATTGTTTAAACATCATTTTTCCATGGAAATTCAATCTGGGTCCATGTACACGTTCTAATGCAGGATATCTTGCTTGTGCTCGGTGCTCAAGCACAGGAGCTCTTCTTCTTATTGAGCCTGTATCAACAGTCAACAGTGGAGAACAGCCTCTATCAGCACCTAAAACAGAAAGATGTTCAAACTGCTCTGGATCTGGAAAGGTTTAGCACCTGAAAACATGGTTTAGTATTTGACAGAAAATTTTCATTAATAGATGAATAGTTCCTACCTTTTATGAGCTGCTTTTCCGAGTCTTCTTAATGCCAATAAATGAGTTTCTAAGTTTCAAGAGGAACTGCAGCATGTGATACAGTTTTCAAGGACAAATGATGAAGATATGATCAAACATGTCACTTCATGTGCCAACAGATCATTTGATCCTGCAGTTTACTTATTCCTTTTCTGGAAGGGATGCCAAAGCTTTTAATTGAATGCTCTCTTCCATTTCTATGCTATTATTTGCATAAATTTTTTTTTCAAGTTTCAATGTTATCTTTTAACCCTCATTTTCCCAATGGCAGGTCATGTGCCCTACGTGCCTTTGCACTGGAATGGCAATGGCAAGCGAGCATGACCCACGGATTGACCCATTTGATTAGAGGTGCATCTCCTCTCTCATTTGCCATTCACATTTAGAGCTTTTGTGCATATATGTGAATGACTCTATCATCTGTGTATACAAATTACAAATAAGATAAGGGACTACTTAAATAAGTCCTTTTTTACCATTTAAGAGGAACCACTGCTTTTCTAATGAAAAAATTAAAATAAAAAATTACAACCCTTTAATAGTTTGATATCATCTATAAAATTCATTGCACCTTGTTTTATAATTTTATTAACTGCAAAAGCAACATGGCACTTGCCTCATAGTTCATAGACAGCAATTCCGAGTTTCATTGTTGTCATGCATGAAATCTTGAATGCTTTACTCTGCTATATGTTATGTGGAGTTGAAGGCGATAATTTCATCTCAACATGAGGCTCAAGAGTTGTTGTTCCCTTCTGTTTGGGATTTGCTTGAACCCGAACCTATTAGGTAACTATGGGAAATTACTTCCAAATGATCATTCATTCTTGGATAGATCTCCGATTCATGTAGCATGCTAAAAAAGTTTGTCCTTACATTCGCATTTACCCATGTGAAACTTCAATCGCAATAAAACAAACTTGGTTTTAGGTTTCATATGGGTACCAAGTAGATATATAATTTCAGTAATTGTAATATACATGAATACAAGCATCATAAATAGTATAGCGAGGTCACAATGATTTGTACTGCTCAATCAGACGAGAAGCCTGGAGACGTGAAGTAGGAGACTCGGTGCATCCCAAAGTTCGCAGGTATGCAATCTATAGTTCAAGGAATACGCAAATTCAGTTGAGGTACCTCTCATAATTTGATTTGGTGGTATAAAAAAATTAAAACGGCGCGTAAACTTCAAAGTTCTAAGAAATAATCTGCATTAATATACAAACATTCTAAGGGGGCATGCATTTACAACTTACAGAGGAATAATTTAATAGAGCCTGTGAGGAAATTTCGTAGAAGTAGTATTTAATCACAAAAAAGTGTTGAATGGTCTAAATTGCATAATTTAACCATTGGGTAGGGGTGAGCTTCCTGATATTTTGGGTTCTTTCCTATCCAATGATTCTTGTTTTATAATCTAATGCAGTCTAGTATAAAAAAACATGCACTCTTACAAGAATATGTTCATCTAATAAAGTACATTGCTTGAAACATCTGTATTAACTAGTAAATCCACTTGGTCTTCTATTCTACCCTACCTCCTCGTTAGTGGAAAATGAATGTAATGTCAAGTACTTTTAAAAATTTAGCTTGAATCATTAACTGCAAGTTAGATTTATTTCTTGAGTCCCTGTGGACAAAAGTTGCAGATAAAGATACAAATTTTGTCTTTTTTTTTTTTTATTTTATTTTAAGGAAGTGAATTTTATTGGTTTTTAAATAAGGTGATAAATCTTTAATTTTTTATTTAAGGATGTTAATTTTATATTTTTTCTATTTAAGAATTAATTAGATGGTAATATTAACAAGTCAAATGTTTTTTTTAACTATTTAATTAATTCTTAAATAGAATAAACATAAAGTTAGCATTTTTAAATAAAAAAATACAAAATTAACATTTTAAATAGAAAAAATTCAAAATTTCCCATGCTACTTAGAAACTAATAAAGTTTATATTCTTAAATAAAAAAATTAAATTAAATTAATATTTTTATCTACATCTTTTCTCACCTATGGTGCATGGACACAATTAAGATGATGATAAAGGCCGGAAAAGGCCAGAAAAGGAAATCAGAAAGAGTAATTTGTTTAATTATACCGAGTACCTGCTTTGATGTTGGTGCTGATGAACCCATAGCTGTTTCCATCCTTAGTTTCTGGAAATGCTCCTGGAAGAGAGACAAATACCATCAGACGTCCAAGTACCTTTGAAAGATAATTATTTATTAAAGCAAGGTAAAGCGAATGGATAGACACGAGTAATTAGTTCAGAATATCAGGGTAAAGATTTCATTCAATTGTTTAGGGTTACTATATGCATATATTTACTTGAAAGTAATTAAAGGCATTTCAACCATTCAGTTGAACATGTTGGAAAGCAAACCTGTTTCTCCCGCATCAAGTGAGCACGCTTATCAGCAGGTATTTGCTCCCACCTCACTACCTACAAAAGGAAATAGCATTATGAAGAAAATGAACCATTTCATTGGAGACTACATTCTCTGTGGATGCAGATTCCATCATTCATGTTTCAAATATGAAGATAAAAACCTTAATTAGAACTTGAGATTTTAAATTAGAGATCTTAAGTTGAAATCTTGAAGTGAGAGGGGAGGAATAAAGGAAGAGGAAGATTATCTCATATACCAAAAGAACAAGGTAAAATCACTGAATCTGCTTACATATTCTGCATAGTGAAGTGCTTCATCACAGCTTAAACAGGACTTCAGTGCGCGCAAAACATCCTGACAAAAGTCATGTCATCGTTAGAAATGTAGGGGATGGAACTCATAATACAAGCCCAGCTCATCTCTATTCCAAGCCAGAGTAACAGATTTTTCATAGCCGAGGAGGGACATTTCCTTGGGTAAACACTGCATAACAGCTAAACATAACCTTGGACTAAAAACGGAAAAGTAAAGTGACCTTGTGTTTGTAATTTTTGGCTCTTTGGCGCTCCTCAATTACAAATCGAACCTGCAGATATAGGTCAAGGATTAAAAGTGGTTAAAATATTTTCAGAAAAAGTGGGTTTAAGAACACAATGAATGATATTTTCAGGTTCTATGCAATTCAGAGGTGGCCGCAGCAAAGTCAAAGACGTCAATTTGCTATGCAAATAACACAGTATTCATAATCTATAACGTTTATGTAATCCCATAAAATTACAAACGTTTATGATGCTCAGGGTGGAAACAGCCTCCTGATCCTCATTCCCAGGGGCACAACAGTGAAGAAGAAAGGACAGAAAGAAAGGATACAATTAACATCCTATGAAATTTGAGGGGAAAATAGGTAAAAATTGCAATGTAATTAATGAAACCCCCATTCAGGGATCAATATTATTAAAAATGTAAGGGGAAATTGTTTAAATCAGGAGTTTTTGGACCCTTGAACAACTGTAAAAATTTATGCATTTCAATTCAGTTAACGGTTAAAAAATAGTTACCTTGTCAAGCAACCTCCCAGGCGCTTTAAAGGCTGGCTTCTTCGCCCATTGATGGAACAAATGAGAGACAATTGATCTGTCTTCCACATTGAATCTGCAGAAAATGGCGGGATCTGAGAAATGCTTTGTCCTAAAGAGCATTACAAGAGTTAAAAAATAAAACCATTCTATTAGAAGGAAAACCTTCTTAGGAAACTATTTCCATCGATTGCCTCCACTGATTCTGTGAATTCTTTCGGGGCAGCATAAATTTGAACCTCCATTAAATCATTTTGCATTTCAGGGGCTTCTGAAGATTGCTTTTCTTGTGGAAGATCAATGGTATACTGTGCATTTTCTTTCTGAATGTCTTGATGTCTGGTTTTTATATCTTCCATGCTTAGATCAGCCTGCATAACATTTACAAAGGTAATCTCTACTATAACTGAAATATTTGTGTATCACTGGAAACACAGGTATATACATAAACAAAATCCAGGCAAATGCTAATTAGGAATGTGCAATGCTTTCAAAACATCCCGATCCCCTTGGATTTATTGTAACATAGAATCATTTTGACCGGCAAGGCGGCAACATAGAACTGAAAAATTTTATAAGGATAACCTGAATCTCCAGAAGATGTTTTGGGATTTCTCTGAGAAACCGTGAAGGTTGAAGCATCTGCAATATGGTATAGTGTTAGTCCCAAAACAACAGTAAGAAACAGAACAAGAAAAGTTTCACATGGTTCTGACCTGCCAATTTGAATCCACAGTAACATACAGAATAAAAAGTTTTTTTCGAGCACGGGTCATTGCCACATATAAAAGACGCCGTTCTTCCTAAGTAATTGAGCACAACATTTAATCAACTTGTAGCGGTACCAGGAAAAACCTAAGAATCTCTAAGCCAAGGAAATCTCATACCTCAACTGTTGTCCCATTCTCCAGTGAAGCACCATTAAATTCATGCAGCAAGGGGATCTCAGTTTCATTCGCCTGTAAAACAATTTTCATTTATTTGCAATTAACAATGGTAACTCAAAGTCAAAGGCACCAGTTTAAGTCATTTCCTTATCTGTTGTTTCCAGTGTGCCATGACTAACTTTGTCTCAAAGTCACCTTTAATCAAAACCATCCAGTACCAAATGTCTGGAGGAAAAGCATGTTCTAGGTTGTATGCTTAAAAAGAAAAGGGAAAACAATACATTTCTATGCAATGATGATCTAGCAAAATGAAATTCAAGTTGCATATTTTGGCTTATGAATCTAGATATTTGTTAAGTATCTACTAAAGCTTTGACCATCACCACTATTTCTGCAATCTTTTCAACTTGTCCTTTCTCATAAAACTAAAACTATTCTACAATTTTTAGTCTTAAGGTAACATATTTAGATTATACATAATTAATTGTTTGCTTTTTAATTTTAGTTAGTTGTCAATTGAAGAGCTCCAAAAATTGATCAGCTACAATCCTTTGAGATGGAGGGAGTGTTAACCTGAACAAACTGAATTGTGGTCTCTATTGTGTGTTATTTCCAGTTCTCATAAGGTACTAGTACAATCAGTTATGGAAAATAAATGAATTCATAACAAACTGCAGCAGTTGCTTAATAAATTGGTCACTCAGCATCAATATATAAACATGATTGAGTACCTTCACTATGAAGACAATGTCCCACTCTAAGCCTTTGGACTGCAGACAGAAGATAAGAAAGATGAATAGATAGTGAGTCAAAGGGAATATCATCAGAGCCCTTGGAACAAATTTAAAGGCTGTTTGGTCAGATACCTGATGAATGGTAGTCAAAGTGACAGAATTTTCATTGTCATGTCTCCTGGAACGAAAGTTTTCTCTCTCACGCTCCATTACATAGCCAATAAAAGATTTCAGCAAACAGACACAGCCTTTTTCTTCCTCAACATCTTTCATGACTACTTTATCAGTAAATTGTTTTAGGAAATCAGATACATCATCAAGTAGGTATTGAAGAACCTGCAATGTGGAGGAACCAAATATTCACCATATAATCTATATGAAACCTTCAATGCAACTCTAATATGTATTTACTAACAAGCATAGAACGATGAAATTACTAATAATCAAATAAAGAGAACAAATAGAAAAGAAACAACAACAAAAAAAAAAAGAAAGAAGATTGGCATTCTAAAATGAAATTATTCTTTGCTACCAACAACAGATAGATTTAAGACAAATGATAAAGCGAAGCTTAAAATCAAAATTGCACCAGCAAAAAAAAAAAAAAAGGAAAAAAAAATCCAGACTTACTGATCTAAGGTCACTATCCTCATTCAGATATTTTCCTCCATCAACATCAATGACTGCTCGTTGCTCAAGAAGGTATTTCTAAAAATTGAAGTCAGGTGAGCAAATGATTAAAATGTAAATGCAGCAGAATGTAAACAAAATGGATGGAAAGTGTAGAAAGTGAAGTCTCTATCACGTTCCATGGCTTTTTCAGAGGAAGCTTCTATTTCATCAGATAAACAAGAAGAAATATGGTAGGGAGTGCTTCAGCAGAGTCCCCAAGAAATGTTAATCAGATTAGAGAAAATTTGATTAAAACAAGTTTAAAATACAGACATAAAACAGTAACATGCTCAGCAGTACTAAGATACATAAAACAAGTTGAAAACTGGCAAATCATAAAGTAGACATCTATGGCAAAATATATTGTGCACTCAAGGCTCAATTACAGTATCTTTATGCTAACTGAAAAGGCAGGCATAGTTGCGCCAGACTAATTTTGAGGGGAAAATGCCTTTAGATGAATAGTTTAGTCTTAAGCCACATTACTAGGAAAAGTTTAGCCTTGACTAATGATCTCCGAATTTGAAATTGGGTGAAAATAGGGACAAACCTGTGGTATCATGTTTGCAACAGAAGTTATTACAGCTGAAATTGATTGTTCCTGCAAAATATTGACAGCTAAGACAAACATCTGTAAAATAAACATTGACAGCCCATATTGACCTTCTTTTCAGGG